ACGAGAACATTTTCCAATTTCTAAGATTCTTTCTCACATTGGAAAGTTTTCTTTTAAATAATAGAATTTATATTTCCATCGTGATTCGAGTTGCCATCGAAAATCAATTTCATCGAATTTTTTTCTAGGCCGCTTGGTTTAATTATTTCCACGCGCTAATTTATTTATTTTTTCTTTTTTTCCAGGAATTTAAAATATATCCAGAATTGATTCGCCATTAAAATGTGAAACGAGAACCAATTTTCCAATTTCTAAGATTCTTTCTCACATTGGAAAGTTTTCTTTTAAATAATAGAATTTATATTTCCATCGTGATTCGAGTTGCCATCGAAAATCAATTTCATCGAACGTCATTTTTTTCTAGGCTGCTCGATTTAATGATTTCGTTAATTTATTTATTTTTTCTTCTTTTTTTTAGAAAAAAAAAAAAAAGATATCTATCGAATTGATAATTCTAATTTTAGAAATTCAATTTCTAACTCGCGTTGGAAAGTTTTCTTTTAAATAATAAAATTTATATTTCCATCGTGATTCGAGTTGCGCCCCCGATCGAAAATCAATTTCATTAAAAATTCCCCAAGTTTATTCGTCGAGATGGAAAAACCTGGAAGGAAATTAAATCTGAGGTAAGAGGGTGAATTTTCACAGCTGCACAATGCTTTTCCATTTCGTTGCCGGGAGATTCCTTCGATTTCGCGTGTCTCCTTGGAAGATCTACGAGTCTGATGGGATTCTTTCGAAAAAAGGGAGGAAACTCTCGGGTGAGGGAACTCGGGGGGTCAAATTTATGGCGAACACGCAAAGAGAATTATTGGGTTGCTAATTGAAGAAACGAAAACGAGGGTTGGAATGAGTGAAGAAATTATCGCGGAACCTTAATTTCCCCCTCCCTCCTTTCTCTTCAAATTTCCCGTTCAACAAAAATTAAATTCTCGATCGAAAATCGACTGACGAACACGCAACGCTAAATAAAAAAATTCTCTATTTCCAAATTCTTCGAATTTCGACTAAAAATTTCGATCAAAAAAGAAATTTCTTCTACGTTTTTTTTCAAATTTGGAAACTCGTTCAAGAGTTAGAGAAGAAGGAATCGAATTTTCATTTCAAATTATGTATAATCGGCGAGAGGCTTTCTCCTCTTTGTCAGAATTAAAACCCCATCCGTCGATTGATTAAACTCCTAGACCATTTCCATTCCCTTTAAAAATCCACCATCCGGCAAAACCCCGACGCGACTTTGAAAATCCATCCTGCAGCGTGGAATCATTGTTGCAGCTCTCCGTTTTCCCGGAAAACGCGAGTTTTTGGGGGGAAAGGGGGCGCAGTTGATTATCTCGCGACGACCCACCCCGAGTGAAAACATTCTTCGAGCCAATGTGAAAACATTCTTGGAGCCAATGTGAAATTATTATTGCCGATAAATTGTTATTCGATCGAAAACGGCGTTGTCCCTATCCCGCATATTATACAAAGAGTAAGGGTAATCTTTATAAATAATTATGGCGGCAAAAAAAAAATGTTGAAAATATATTATTTGTTATGCAGCAAGAGGAATAATTTAATGGGGAATTTGTGAAAATGTTTGAAAACGTGTGTTCACCGGTCGTGGATTTTTGATGATCCCTTGAGCGTACAGGGTGTTTCGAGTGGCGTTTTAAAATTTTAACGGTGTTTGATGCTGTTTGGATGTATGACGACGATCCGGGGCGGAACGGTTCTTTCCTCTTCCTTGAATTTTAATTAATAATTACGTTTAAAAAACGAGCGTGTACATCGAGAATTGAATCTCCCTTATTAAGATTACTTTATAACTTTATATTAAAAGTTGCAAATTGTTGGTTCGTTTTGCTAATTAATTCTCGTTTCATCTTAACTTGAAAAAAATTTCGCGATCATATCGGTCACTTCGAGATCATCGAACTCTAAAAATCGGGTGGAGGGTTGAGATCGAATTCGATCAAGAGTTCGCGCGGAGTAAAAATATTTAACCGAGTTTAACAATCGTGCGCGGGGATCTGCAGCGAAAGATTCAGCAAGAAGGGGAGGGGAGGGGGTTCCAGAGCGATTAGAGCTTAATCGAGATGAACGGTTGAGGGATCACGTGACCGAGAGGACGGGATACGATTTCCAGCGACAACAAGTTGAAACGAAACTCGGTAACGAGAGGGCTTTCATGCTGGTGGGAACGTACCACGTCCCATCTGTAATTTCCACTTATCTTTCTTTACGGCTCCAAGGGCGTAAAGAAGATCTTGTAAGACCTTGCTCCCTGTTTTAAGTATCCGAGGACTCGAAGTTTTACAGTCTGAAATGAAATTTCCTTCTTTTCGATCATAATTTTATAGAGCTATACAGATATAAATGAATTCTACGATTCGAAGTTTTAAGGGAATTTTTGAATGTTGGATCACAAGTTGAATTTAAAGAAGGGTGTAACCGTTTTAAATGAATTCTACGATTCCAGATGCTCGAGGAACGTGCGTGTGACTTTTGAAAACTATTCTTATTCGAGAATGGTTATTCGAGAAGAATGTTAATAATAATACAAAAATTATTATATTATATTCTATTATTATATTATTATATTATTAATTATATTATATATATATTGGACATCTTGAAAGTTGTGTTGTTTCTAATGTTTCTTATCTTTCATCTTGAATGTTCTATTCTAATGTTTCGATATCTAATGTTTACAATTTGAAAATAAATCGATGAGCGACAAATCGAAAAGTCGAAACCTGTTTTGAGAATTTTTTAAAATGTTATCTGAATACTGACACGAAAAATTGATGCACTCGTACGATATAAATAAAATATCTGGAAGATCTGAAAGTTTCGAACAGTTTTATTAGTCTAATTTTATTTTATTCATTTTTACTGCACGTCTACATTGAATTTCCAAAGTAATTTTTATATCGCGTTTGATATAAAAAATACTTCGACACGTCGATTTCCTCCGTGTGTCCGGTGGCCATTCTAATTTCACACGAACGATCTACGTGACCGACTGAGAGACCTCCATCGTAAATGGAGGACTTCAAAATTGCCGGAAACTCACCATCGCGGAAGGAAATTCGAACTTTTATCGCGACGAATTACCTACGTCTACGAAAATATTCTTGTTTCTTTGACAAATTCTTTTTTATTGATTTAATTAATAGACACTTTAGAATTTCTTCGCTGTTATTCAAGAAATTGTATTATATTTTTGTTGGTGAAGAAGACTCGAAGAATCTCGTTTATCCAATTATTCTCGAATATCTTGGTAGAATTCGTTCAAGACACCAGTTATACAATTCTCGAAAGCAATTCACTTATTAAAAACTTCAAAAATTTCTTTAATATAATAATACCTCTTCGGATTCCTTAAACGATACTTCGAAATCATAGAATTCGTTTATAAGATATCGATCGTATCTACTCTATAAAATTACGATCCAAAGAGTGAAATTTTATTTTAGATCGTAAAACTTCGAGTCGCAATACTAGCTTTAATATATACATGAATTTTTTACGAAGATCGAAGGATGTTATATTTTTTTTTATCGATTCGACAAATTTTGAGGAATATTCAAATAAATGTGATTTTTCCCCTACAATTTGCACTCGTGACTTATATACAACAACGTTGCATTCACGTTGCACACGTGAAGTAGCACGTTCGTAGAGCGTAGGGTCCAGTCGATTGGATGTGAATTGGATTTAATTCGCGGAATCTTTCGATTAAATAGAGCGTGAGTTAAATATGTAACTCACGTTCGATCCGTTAACGGATTGTAGTAGAATATCGAATAGTAGGATTGGAATACACATAATGGAAAAACGACGACGAATTCCACGCCAATTTCATCTTACGTCGTACATCGATTTTCTGTCGTCACATACGCGGATATATTTAATTAAACGCAACTGGAATACCATTTAATTAAAATGGTAATTTCGTTTATCTCTAATTCCCCTATATAAAAACGTGTGCTTTAATTTTTTGTACCACCATTATTGATCTTTCATTTTTCAAACATTTCTCGTCGTGCCTTCCTTCGAATGGGTTGTGCAGAATCGAAGTAATTGCCATGTGTGTTTTACTTTTCGGTGTACACAACGTGTTTACTTTTATTTGGACAGGGATGACGCAAATGGATGAAAATACACTCCCGTGACGCATGAACTCCACATTTTTTTTTTTTTTTTTTTTTTATCTTATCGGCGGATAATCTGGAAAAATGTGTTTGCCCAAACGGGGAACGGTTTGAAAATTACGTGGTTGTATCGTGAAAATACTTGTATCAATCGTTTGAAAAATGTACGATTTTCTGCTTGTTTCGTTCTCTTGATTGAAAACCGTAATATAGGTCCGTTGGTGTGCCGCGTTTCTTTTTACCATTTTATGCTAATCACAAACTGCGAATGAAGTTTGTGCACACGGCGACATCTGGCGATAGAGTTTTATTCGATAACTCGAAGACTGTATTAACAATTCAACATTCAGAAAATTCAAATTCTTTTTATCAAATTTATGGGAATGTATATTAATATTAATATTTGCGTTTTATTAAAAATTTTATAACAATACAATAAAGTAAAGTTATTAACTTATTAATTTTATATGAATTTGGGTTTTTTATGCAATTTGAAACGGTTTATTTTTCTTTCGTTTATTTTTTTTTTATTTTTTTTTTTATTTGGATTCGTATTAATTGTGTTTATTTTATATTTGGATGGGAAATTGAAAATCTGCGAAGCTGTATATTTGTGCTTTTAATTTAAATTGATAATGAAGTTGTTATCTCAGTTGAGTTGAAGATATTGATTGGGATTCTTACACGAATTCACAACTTTTATAACGTTTCGTGAATTCGATGAAACGAACAACAAGGCGATGATACTATTTTTAAAAATGAACGTAATATTTCTTTCTTTTTTTTTTCTCAGAATATTTTTTTTTTTTTTTTTTCAAAGAACAAATGATTAACTTGTTTTCTTTTTTTCTGTTATAGAACTCGAACAACCAAGTCGCGCTTCCTGGACAGAATCAGGTGGCTCAGACACAAGCAGAGACCCAAGGGGGGCCCAATACCGTTCTCAGAGTCATCGTCGAGCAGATGGTTTACCCAATTTCCTTAGACGTGCTCTATCAGGTAAGTTATGACTTCTGTTTCTACATCGATTAATTTCTCGTTTACCTTAATTGGAAAACGATAATTGGACATGTTTTACCGCTTATCGACGTAAGATTCAATAATTTATGCGTTCTATTGATATTTTCTTTCGCCGTTATTCATAGAATTTTCATCTCGAGAAAATTAGGAAATATCTCACCAAAAAAAAAAAATATCAAAAAATCGTAGAATTTCGAAGCATTTATTTTAACAAATTTTATCAAAACCATATTTCTAGAACTTTAAAAATTTCGAATTACGAACGTGAATTATTATTTACTTCTGAAGAATATGAAAACTTCTATCTCAAAAAAAGCGAATATTAGAGAAAAATTTTCTAAAAATTCATCGAGCGTTTTTCGAAAGAAGAGAAAGGAAAAGAAAAAAAAAAAAGAAAGAAAGAAAGAAAGAAAAAAGAGGAAGCAGAAATCAAACAAAACGTTTCAAATTTTTTATTACATCGCGCAGAATATTCACCTTGAAAGAATTCAAAAGAGAATCGGCGAACGATTGCGTGAAATTTATTCGAAAACAACACGAGAGATTGTGCTCTCGCGTGGTAAAAACGGTCGAAATCGGCGGGAATAATGCAGGAGATGGGAAATTAATCGGATTTCGCGGCGTATCCGGCGAATTCGATTCCCGATTAATCGGATATTTTCTCCTTTCGCCAGTTCGCGCGTGGATTACGATAGAAAAGGGCCGTGGCATATTTCGTTCACCGATCTCGCTAGATTTTTTTTCCCCTCCCTTCGTTCTCGTTAATGGAATATTAAACAATCCCGATATAACGCTTACAGTTTCGTTGCAAATCATCCAGCCTCCCGATTCTCAATTTATTATTTCGACGTTCGTTTCCCTCGTTCGAAACCAATGCATTCGATCATTTCTCATCGATTTCGTATATATTTTGATGAACATTTCATGAATATTTCCGTGCAACTTCAATTCATTTTACGGCTAAAGATTGAGGTTAGGATTGCTTTCTCTCGTCGGGCGCCATTTTCTTGAACGACATCACGAAATGGCGGATGATCTTGAAACGGTTGGTAATGTAGGAAATGTCGTCATATATTTACAAATTTCACGGATTATTCGTATAATTTTGTGATTTCAATGAAAATAATAAAAGTTTCGCAAACGCCATTTTCTTGAACAAGGTATAACAAAATGGAAGACAATCTTTAAAAAATCGATAATAAAAAATATATATAAATTGTATGAGTGTATATATATATAAATACAAAAAAAAATTTTGTTAGAAAAAGAAATCAATATAATTATTTTTCACTGTATTCGCAATAAAATTACAAAGATAAAAGTAGCAGTCGTAAAAACGTTATGTGGGATTTAACGAAATTTTATCGTTCGGATGGAAAGAGAATTATTTCATAAATGTAAAATATAATTCTACAACGTTTTGGCAAAGTAAAATATTAACTCTTATTATAAATGAATAAAAAGGTGGATATAATGCATACTTATAAAAAGTATAATACAAACTGGTGCCCTGAAACTTATGGAAACGTTGTTACCCTTGAAAGTATTTATATTCGTTAGGAAATGTTAGGATTTTCATGATGCCAACGTGGAAAAATTCAGTAGTAAATCATCCCCTGGTTAGTTCCTCCCTTCCATCGACCTAATCTTTTACAAATTTATTGTACACAATTTCACAACATTCATTTCATTCTTCTCATTCATTCTCTAACGCAACGCTTATTTATCTTTTTCCATCTCTTTCAATTACCGACCCTTTAATACAAATCGTATTGTATACAAAATAATACACACGTAATATACGATACAAGCCGTAGAACGAAACGATAAGACGATTATCATCGAGTACTTACATAATACATGAACGGATGCACACTTTTACACTTTTACACTTTTAACGTGTAGCACGGGGGGGGGGAGGGGGATGCATCGCCATCAGATAGGATGCTTCGTCGCGTCATAAAATATGCAATCCATATGCATTGCGAATTGTGCAACGAAATTTATGACACGTGGGATGCTCGAGCGATTGTATCGCGCAATATCGAACAATGTCGACAAACGTTACAAAGCGTGGATAGATAGAAAATTTTTGCAATTGGGTGTACAATACACAGCCGTGTGCACAGCCCATTGTATTAATAGATTACGAATAGATTATGTCGCCGTGTTCGAATTAATTCTAATTGAGGGGCGTTCGTTGCACAGCGAGCACGGTTGCAACGAAGCAAGGACGAAAACGAGCGATTGATTGTCATAATGCGAAGTCATTGGAACACGCAATTGCGTGGAGCGATCGCGTTACACGGTTCGTCGCACCAATTTTGCATTACGAATTCGTAATAAGGAAACGGGGCCCCCCCCCCCCCCGAGGTGGATTACATATTTACGGAATTACGAATAGCAATTAACGATGCGCGGGAATTATGCAACGTGGAACCCGGCGTTGTTATTGAATTAATTCACCTGTTCCGTGCCCAGAAACCGATTCTCGCGTCCGATTAATCACGTTGAACGATGCTCGATTAACGAGTCGATTAAAATTACCACCCCATTATTCTGCCTATTATGATGATGAAGGTTGTTAAAAAAAAGAAGAAAAAAATGTTCTATGGATGATCTTTTATGTTTTTTTAATAAATAAAAGATTCTTGATAACTTGTACAATTGGAAAACAAAATTTTTAATGAGTGAGATTATACTAATATCGATTACAATTACCAAGGTATTATTATTCTTTTATGATGATGGTTGTTAAAAAAAAAAAAATTCTATGGATCTTTTTTTAATAAATAAGATTCCTTCTTGATAACTTGTACAATTGGAAAACAAAATTTTTAATGAGTAAGATTATAATAATCGATTAACGACTCGATTAAAATTACCAAGACATTATTCTGCTTATTATAATGATGATAATGATTTTAAAAACGTGTTGGTTATTACGGATGATCTCTCGTCTTTTTTTAATTAATAAAAGATTCGTTCTTTTTCGATAATTCATACAATTGGAAAACAAAATTGAAATTTTATATTTAATAAGATTAATAAGAAAACAAAATTGTGAAATATTTAATAAAATTATAATAAATAATTGGAGAATTTTAATTTTGGTATATGAAGGATTCAGAAGATAATTAATGTAAGTCACATTTATTTAAAAATTATTTAAATCGATCGAGTCAATGCTAAAATATCGATAGATAGTTATTTAATTAATTTGTCAAAAATTTGAATGATAAAAAGATTTTTTCACTAATCGACTTATGAATCCTCCACTGCAACGATACTAATTTAGAAGTTATAAATTTCTTAAACGGAATATAATATTCATTCGTATTTTCCAAAATAGAATGTTTTCCTTTTCTGAATTCTGAATTCTGAATCCTTACTTTTTCACACAGAATAAACTTAATAAAATTAATATAATTGGCGTTTAATTTTTCGAATGAATCTGATCACTGAACCGCGATAAAAAAATATCACGATGTTTCGACAATTTTCGCTTATCGAGAAACCGATTTCGAAAGGAGCGCACCCCTATGCCTTCATCAACATCGCGCACCACGCTATTGTATTGTACAAACTTTCTCTGTCGTTTTTCCCGTATCGATCATTTTCGATACGAAAAAATAGAAAATTTGCACCATAGTGAAAAAAGGGGGAGGAGGGGGAGATGGAGGAATAGGAGAGAAAAGGAAGAGGAACAAAAGAGCGATTCACCGTGGGGAAATGTGCAATAAAAGTTCGGATAAAGGAAATGTAAAAGACAATGCCTATTGTAAATACAGTACAGTTTTTTGTTAAAAATATAAGAACGAAATAATGAGACTTATAGATAGATATATACAAAATAAAATAGCACAGATTGCTCCTGCTTTCGTTTCCTCCTCCTCTTCTTTCTCTCTCTCTCTCTCTCTCTCTCTTATTTGTTCCAAGAATTACTCGAAGAATATATAAGAAAATTGGCAAATTATTCTTCCCTCGGGTGAATAATTTAATCAATATAATCGATAATTCGTAACTCGATCCATACAGGGAAAAGTAGAAAAATTTGTTGTTTGTTCTGCAACAATTAAACAATAACATTTTATTTTGAAAACAAATTATGACAAGTTATATCGTGACAAATATCTCTGCCAACAATTCGACATTATATTTTATTTATTTCGTGTAACGTATTCGCCTCGTTCAAATTAATTTTCAATCGATCGAACTTCATTATTAAATAATAATGAAGTTGATAATGGGATACGTAATGTAACGTTTAATTGAAAACGCCCATTTTCAATTAAGGGGCCATTTTTGCGCGATAATCGTCTCTATTTCCTCGCTATTTGAAGCGAGGCCCAGAACATCATTCGATCGGGGAGGATCCACGAATTCGGGAATTGGATCTTTCCGGCTGAATATCGCGCGTTTTCATACGTGACGTATGCTAAACATCCCGTGGCCCGTTCTTTTTTGTTGAATACAGTTTAAAAAGAAAAAGAACGAAAGAAAGAGAGAGAGAGAGAGAGAGAGAGAGAGAGAGAGAGAGAAAGAGAGAGAGGAAAGAACGTGGGGGGAGGGAGAGGAGAGGGGGTGGCTTTTAGAAAGATTCTGAATGAAGAGTTCGCGGGTTCGCGAGGAAAAATGGAAAGTGTGTCGTAAAAAGCGCTCTTTGCTTGCTTTTCCCATTTTTTTTTTTTTTGTTTCTTTCGCTTTCCTCTTTTTCATCGTTTTATGTGCGAGAAGAAATAAGGTTTTTTCGGTTCGAACATGGGAGGACCATTTGTCGACCACGCGTCCGAAAAAGATTCTCTTTGTTTATTTTAGCTTATCTTTGATTTATCTCGGTTTTTATATAAGTCAAAATATAAAAACGCAAAGTAAGATGTTGCAATATAATGTTTTTAAATTGATGAAAATTTTCTGAATATTCAAAAATTTAAAGGGACTTTTCGAGTTCAAAAAAGAGAATAAAAAGAAAATCGCAT